GTCGGCGGCGGCGGGCGGCGGGTCGTAGCAGGCGGCACCGGGTGGCGGGAGGAAGCCGGCGGCGCCGAACAGCATGCTGCGCATGAGGCTCCGCAGGACGGTCAGCTGCGGCAGCAGAAACCGCTGGATCTCGTCCCACTGCTGGCGGTCGGCGATGGAGTAGACGACCTGCCAGGCCGAGGCTCGGGAGTAGCCGTCTGGGGACGCAAACAGCATCAGCCACTCTATGTCCTCCGCCTGCTGGCTGAACCGCCACCCGCGGACGCCCACGAGCCGCAGGCCAAGCAACGCCGTGCCCCCGCCGCCGCCGCCCACGTTGGTGGCGCCGTCGGCAGCGCCGGCCGGGGCGCATGGCTGCTGGTAAGGGCCGCGCTCCTGCTGCGGCTGCAGCAGCTGCTGCGCCGACGCTGCGCCCGCGGACGCGGCGCAGGCGGGCGTGCCGGGTGGGGGTCCCGCGCCAGTTGGGCTGGGAGGTGGCATGGCTGGTTGTATTATTGCTGGAGAGCTGACAAGTGCCATAGCCTCTTCGTCGCGCTGGACGGACGCCCTTTCGTGGCTAGCCCCTGGCGCTCAGCTGCGGCGCACCGCTGGAGTATCTATGAGTCTATAATGCTATGGTATCTCTACTTGACATGTGCGTGGACGTCCATCGCCAAAGGACCCTGTCGTGAGAAATCGACGCTGCGCAATCACCTTGAGTTGTGAACATAATTCGTCAATTGTGAAAAATAGATGTGTATATTGTTGTCGAGAACCCTGCCTTTCGCACCTGTGGCACAGGGAGGGGCGTCGTCCCAAAATTACAATAAAGTGCCCGCGCTACGCCAGGCTCAGACGAGCCTCGGAAGGCTGCACCGGAATGTGAGAACATTGCATTTTTCAAATCCTAGAATCGGCCATTCACGCCGGCCAGCTCCCGACCCATGCGCTGGGGGCCGCGAACACCCTGACCGGTCTTGCCGCAATCGCCCGTTTCAACGGCACGCGCGCAAGATCGCGCCGCTCCCTCGCAACCGCGGCCCTCCGAGCACGGTCGTGCCCCTTAATGTCGCAAACAAATTGTGTTGCGTTCACAAGATCGCCCGCTGGGTAGGGCTGCTTTTCACTGTGGTGGCCTCGTCAGCCGGGCGCGCCACCTCACCGCCGCTGCGGCACCCTCGGCCCACTCCCGAACCTGGACACCTCAATGACTCAGAGTGCTGGGAGCCTATCCGCATACCCATGTATCACACGTGCCACGCCCTGCCAGATCGCAAACTTTTATTCTCCCGCGCGGCGACGCGTAGAGCTGTCCACCAAAGCGCTCCCCTGCGTTGCGTCCCCTACTTGCTGCAATGCATGGCTGGCTACTGTGTACACTGTGGCGGCCACACCTCATGTTTATCACCAATAACATGGCGAATAGCGCATGCGGCCACCACTGCCGCTACCTCCTTGCTTCCACGCCATGCGGAAGCCTCTGGTCGGTGGGGGCGGGCAACACAGTATCTGCCACCGACCCTTCAAGAGTTGCTTGCCCAGAAGGGGGCCCATCTCTGCAACCAGTCCAAACCGAGAATCTGACCATGAAACCAGCAATGCATTCCGCAGGCTCAACCCCAAGCACCAAGTCACGTGGCGCTCTGTGCTGTACGGCCTCTTGGCGGGCGGCAGCAGCATTCAAATGTGTGTGTGTGTGTGTGTGTGTGTGTGTGTGTGTGTGCGTGCGTGCGTGCGTGCGTGCATGCGTGTGTGTGTGTGTGTGTGTGTGTGTGTGTGCGCGCGCGTGTGTGTGTGTGTGTGTGTTAATGTGCACGTGGGCTCCGCGGTGTCCACCCGCCGACCGCTGCCTGTCTCGATTAGGGATTAGGATTAGGATTGTTATAAGATCCCGCGGTCGCCCGCTCCTGGAGCCATCCAGGCTCATGGGATATGACTGTCTGCTACATTGCTGCACGCACCACGGCGCCACCACCAGCAGTCACTGTCATATGACCAATGCGGCAGAATCAAGCACCCCCCTTGGCTTGCCAGCATCACGGCGCGCACCCCGGGGCCGCCACAGCTCCCCTCAGCCCTGCCCCAGTCAAAAGTGCAACACATACAGACAACCCATTGGCGCTCCAGCGGCCTCGCCTTCCCCGCGGCCAGCGAGTGCCCCCCACCCTCACCGCCCTCCCAATCCTGCTGCCACCTGATCAGTCCCCACTGCCCGTCCAACGTTTACTCCCGGCGCCGGCAAGAATGTGCTGTCGTGCGCAATGGGGGCGCCCGTGCACAACTGGCTCCGGGCGGAACGGGTCACTGCAATCACGCACACGCTCACGTGGCGTGACACTCGGCACTCGCAACGTTGTTTCGCTGATGACATTTTGACATGGGTCGGCGCGTGTCGCCGCTCGTTGAATGGTAAACTACTCGTACTCGTACAAGATGCCATTAGGCCAAACAAGCCAGGCGGCGGCGGAGGCGCGCGAAACGCAGGGGGGTTGGCGTTTGTGGGGCGGCATGACACCACAGAGGGCCCCACAAAGCACTCACAATGCGGCAGGATGGATCGGCCCGGCGGGCAGCGAATCCGACGAGGCGCGGCGCGGAGTCGAAGGTTATATGGGCGGCCTGGTCCACCAGGGCAGGAGCAGCAAAGTGGCCAGCCCTGCACTTCAGTACTGTCGAGATATCTCTCTCTTGATGTGCAGCCAGGGCAGAGTATCAGCGCACTTGTCCGCAGAAATGTGCTATGATGTTGATAATTAGCATATAACGCGCATTGAATGGGCTATACAACGCCTACGATGGTGCACAACAGATTCGGGCGTGCAGGTCTACCATCTCGCACCATCGCGCACCACTGAGGCGCCATCGAGCCCAGAAATCTCCAACGGAGGCGCCAGCTCTGCTGTTTGCGCATTCGCGCCTGCCCGACGCATCAGGTTGCAAGCGCTCGCGTGGGCGGCTGTCGCCCAGCGGCTGCAGGGCCCTGTGCATCCCATCGTCTGCGCCTTCGGGCTGTGCTGCGGATGAGATGTATACATATCACTTCATCCGCGCCACCAGCCGTCATGAACGCTATGGGCCTGCTGCCAAAATGTGCAATGCAGAAGGATATGAGATGGTTCGCGCCGCTTCTGCCTTCAGGGCCGGCGCGCAGGCGGGCAACGCCCAGCCCCTGCATGCGGGAGAGTGGCTGCGCACCATTGGGGGATGCGGGCCGCGGCCTCGTGTCAGCGCCACGGCGCCGCGCCCCTCCCCGCGGCCGCTGGCTTGGGACGGCGGCCACAGAGAGGGAGGCTCGCGCGCGGGGCGTTTATGCTCGTGGGGGCGGCCGGCGACCCCCCCAGTCATGGCAGCGGCGGACTACCGCAGGGCAAAGCGCTGCCTTGCATCCGACGCGTATTTTTGATGCAAAAGAGGAGCTGAAGCTTGGTGTGAGCGATCGAAAGCGGTTCGACGCTGGCGGGTACGGAAGCGTGTCCCAGCCGCAGCGGCAGACGCGGCGCTCGCTCAAGCTAGCAAATTATGTGGGGGACACTCTCTTGGGTGTGATAGCTGGAGGCAAGAGAGTGCGACCGGCGGGCGCTGATTGTCAACTTTATTATTGGAATAGTGTGTGATTGAGGCGGCAAAAGGCCCGCCTGGCGAGCAGGGGCCCTACCAGGCCGTGAAGCCAGATGCGGCTTTGTAAGACAGGGCGGGCAGATCATGCGCCGCCGGCCGCAAACGGCCCGCGAGCGGCCACAGGTTGACGCGAGGCGAGCGAGGCCAGGAGGCAGCAGCGCGCGATGCAAGAGAGGGCTATAGATTGGTGTGAGCGATCGAAAGCGGTTCGACGCTGCCGGGTCGGAAGCGCGTCCGAGCCGCGGCGGCAGACGCGGCGCTCGCTCAAGGTAGCAAAATATGTGGGGGTCACTTTCTTGGGTGTGATAGCTGGAGGCACAAGAGTGCGATTGGCGGGCGCTGATGATCAACTTTTTTAGTGGAATACTGTGTGATTGAGGCGGCAAAAGGCCCGCCTGGCGAGCAGGGGCCCTGCCAGGATGGGCTTCGTGAGACAAGGCGGGGTGATCAGGCGCTGCCGGCCGCCCCGGCCCGGCCCGGGAGCGGCCACGGGTCACCGCGCGGCGAGGCCGGGAGGCAACAGCGCGCGGGCGCAGGCGGCGGGGCAAGGCGGAGGGGGCCGCGGCCGTCACAGGCGGCGCAGCGCCGGGCGAATCGGCCGAGGTGGGCAAGGCCGCCCTGCCGCTCTTCAGTCGCTTCACGTATCTCTTGGTTTCCTGGAGGCACCCCCTCTCCAGCCGCTTGCAAACATTAGAAGCTGGCGGGTCGGGTGCTCATAATCTCTCAATCCTCCGCACTTCTCGCGATCCTGGGCCGCGCCTCGACCTTCGCAGCCTCAAAACACCGACGCCGCCTTGACCACCGCCACGGCGGCGTTGTCCTCGTCGCCCCTCTCCTCCCCCATGACAGGTAGTCGCCCCACAGCTGCCCCCGGCCGCGCGCCGTGCGTCCAGCTGGTGCTGGTCTCTATCCTGAACAGCGGCTCGCCCGCAGGCGCCGCCGGCACCGCGCCGACGATGCCCCATCCCGACAGCGCCCACGCGCGCGGCGCGGCGCCGCCGCGGGCGCCGGGGGGCAGCGAGAGCGAGAGCATGGCGAGCGCGACGACAGGGGGTGGGCCGTGGTAGGAGGGCGGGCCGTGGTAGGAGGTCGGCGGCGTGAAGGGGGCTGTGAAGGTTTGGAGGTCTTGGTGGGCCGCGTCGAGGGCCGGGTCGTAGTGGGCAGACCAGTCGAGGACCCATCTACGCACAAGGCGGTGTGGAAAAGCGATTTAGCAATTGTTGCAGTGCTCCAGCATTGGGGTGTGAGGCCAGCTGCTGGGGCTGGGGTGTTGTATGGAGAGACTGAGCGGCAGCCCGCTGCCCGGGCCAACGAGGCGCGGCGCCGCGCGCCTGGCTGTGCAGTGGGCGCCAGCCGCGCCCGCTGGCGCACAGCGCGCCTCGGCCGGGCGCGGCGTGCCGAGCGCCGCAGAGAGCATGCACGGGGCCCGCGCCCCGCGCCCCGCGCCC